GATTTCTTGGCTTTCAAATAGCTTGAAAAAGCGCCGTGCGCATTTTATTTTCACTTTCAAATTAGCGGCAATTCGGCTTTGATTCAATTCAAGCAACAACGTCAAACTCAGAACTTTTATTAACAAACCGTATAAAAATACACCATATAGGCCTATACCTAATAAAATAACAAATTACTTAGGCTACACAAAGTTTAAATAGGTATATAAAACTGAAAATCAGCAAACACTGTGGAACCAAATAAATAAGAAACATAGAACGTTTATTAGCAAAACGAATAAGAAAGCTTGGAGGCACGGCATATACACCTTGATGTAAAATAAAATAAATAAAATACACAAAGTTTAAATAAAGTAATCAGCAAACACAGTAGAACCAAATAAATAAGAAACGAATGTTTAAAAAAACTTCCAGTCAATAGGCTTTTCAAAATCTAAAATATTGCCAAACAGGCGCCTTTGCATTTCCTTTCTAAACAATCTTCTGCCATCATCTTGTCTTTCTCACCTCACTCTTGTCAGTCAGCTCGACTCACTCTCCTCACGTGATAAATAAAATCTGACTCCTGCTCCGTGGTGCACTGTCGTTCGCGCACGGTTCGGCACGCTGCATTGAGCGTTTAGTTTTTAAAAGTATCTGTCCTCTAACTGAACTAGGCTAAATGATTTTTGTTACTATAAAAAAATCTAAACGACGGTGGGGGGCGGTGCCGCGGTAGGCAAATGACGTAACCGGTGTTGCAGCTTAACACCGGTATAACTGAAAACACCGTCTATCGCAGCAAGCCTATTACAAAGCCATTGCCTAATTAATATTCCTGAGTAGTTGGAGCTGTGGCTTAGTATTTAGTGCATGTTCTCTGGCACATTGTGTTGTGGTGCTCAAGTGTGATCTCAGTTGGAATTTCTTGATCTCTCCATAATTTCCTGCCATTTTTCTCTCTCTGTGCTGTGTAGGGAAGGCGCTGAAAACATGTACTACTTCTCGACCCTGGCGTTGACATTGAACGAGCTGGAGGAGGGTGTTGCTCCCACGGATAGCAGGAGGCGGCCGGACCAGCGTCTAATGGAGCAGGGCCGCTGGGAGGAGGCTAACGCTGAGAAACAAAGGCTGGAGGAGAAGCAGCGCACTGTCCGCCGAGAGAGGGAGCGAGAGGCCAACCGCGCCGCCAGCCCTTCAGAAGAGGGTAAGGAGTCAGCGGACGGGGGTAAAGTGTCCTTTTATTTGTCTTTCTACTCGTCTCTCCTCCTTTCTTCCTCCTTCTCGGCGTCTCTCGTTCACTCCCGTGTGTCTGTCTCTGTCTTTCCCTCAAGCTCTCATTGAGGACGCCATATCTGACTCGCCTCTAAAATGCAAGTACTCCTGTTCTACTTCCTTTTTCTTTTCTCTTTAATTGTCGTCGTCTTCTTTTTCTCCCATCTCACACAAACACATATGCAGTCACTGTAATAGTGCTTATTTGCATGACATTAAAGGAATAGTTCACCTAAAAATGAACATTTTGTCAGTTTGTTCCAAATCCACATGGCTTTCTTTCATCCGTGGAGCTTTTCCGTAGAATTAAACAAAGGGACTAAAACGGTTGCACTCCAAATAGTGTTATTTTGATGTCATTGATATACTATTATAGTATTTTTTCCCCCGTTTTAGTAAGTCTGGTTTTGAATTTTTTATTCATTTATTTATTTACAAATTTTAGTTTGTTTTAGTTAATTTTGTTGTGTTTATTTGTCGGTTTCATTTGTTTTTTAAATGTATTTATTTAGATTTTATATTATTACTATTATTTTATGATTTTAGTTATTTTTAATTTTAGAAAGTTTAGAACTTTCACTACACTAAATGAAAATTTTAAATTTTGCCATTGCAACTAACTGAAATTAAATTTAAAAAAAAATATTTTTTTTTTAAAATGTTATTTCAGTTAGCATCTATGTTATTTCAATTAATGCAAATGTTTTTTTTTTATATATAGTTTTAGTTAACACTGGCTCTAAAATGACAAGTACCAAGTACCATAAAGTATTAGTACACCAATTTTGTAATACTTTGGTGCTATTTTTCTTAGAAAATTCACCTTTTGTGTTCCATGTATGAAAAAAAACAAAAAAAAAAAGTCTCATTGAAGTTTGGAATGACATAAAGGTGAGTAAATGACAGAATTTTTATTTTGGGGTGAACTGTCCCTTTAATATCCAGGAGCACTTTCCCCGCCTTCATTATGCCATTCACTCATTGTATTCTTTCTTTTTTTGTTTTTGTCTTAATTTGCATCCCCCTTTTTAATTTTTGACTGCTCGTCTCTCAACTCTGATCAGCCGAAGAAGTCGAGATTGCCAGTGAGCCCTCTGAGACCACTTACAAAAGCAAGTACCATCCCATCCCTCTCTCCTAATAACACTGTTTCTCGCATTTATCATCCAATCATCTTCATTTTCCATCTGTCTGTCCCTCCATCAGCTGACACAGATGAAACTTCCTCCGATCTTTCGCTATCAAGCAAGTAGCCGAATCAACACTGAAGTGTTGTTTAGTTGTTTTAGGCTGTTTTCACACTTGATTTGATTGTTTAGTCTCGACCCGAGTTTGATTTCACCTCTGCAGATTTCTTTTCTGATTGTATCTTGCTGCATTCACATCATCAAAATTGATGCATCAACAATACAATTTTATTATTTTTTTAATGCATTGCTTTCAAACCAGTTATAAATCATACTACTCCTTATGAACCCTATCCTAGATCACGTATTTGAGGCAATTTAGCTGTGAAAACACTGCTAAATAGAAACAAGCAGATAATTAGACTTAGTTCTTATTTGAATTAATTCTTGCATCATGCATTTTGAAACATAAGCATTTTAAATCACATGCCTGTGCATGTATTTTACTTCCACTAGTGGGCAGAGTGAATGCATAAATTGTGAATGTATATTAGACAGTATCATAAACAGAAACTACAGTCAGTGTTGAAGTCCATTCCATGTGAATCTTTAATTTCTTCAATTCACTCCTCCCGTGCATGCTAACATCTCTCTCAATCCTCTTCTCTTGCCTACATCCCTCCATCTTCATCTCTGTGCTTCTGCAGCTGAAACACTGCACGGCTCACACCCACCTGCATACTCAAGCAAGTACTACACACATGTTCACTTCACACACAGATGCGTACAAAGCCAGTGTTTGTAATGAAGTGGAATTATGTAACTGTGGAATAAAAGTGGAAACAGTTGTTAGAGCTACATTTTTACAATGTATGGGGATCATGTTATACATTATACAGCATAATACATTTGTTGCTAACAGCACAAGATCCACAATTCATGTTAATGTATTCATAATGTGAAACTTATACACTCTATCACAAACTATCGATTATCACAGACAATTACACACACACGCATCATGTTATACATCACACACACACATTATAAAATGGCAGTTGTGGGATCAAACTTTGCATTGTGCATTTGTGAGCCCCTCACTGGAAAAGACCCTTACTGTCTCGTTATCTGTTCTGTGTCGCTCTAGTGGAGGGTCCTTATGGAGCTCCAGTCAAAAGCAAGTAACATTCACCCAAAACCTTCCAGCCCCTCCATTTCTCAGCTAATAGGGCTAGGCGGTATGATCAAGCAGAAAACCACAGTTTAACAATTTAATTGACATGTCATGCCACTCACATTCAGTGTGAAATAGTAGGTTATTTCCAATATATGCATACCTGTGCTTTAATAAAATATAATTGAATATTTAATAATGAATATATAAATATACAAATGAAATGTACTTCAGTTCATTTAAGAAGTAAAATAATGAAAGATCATAACTAAATTTAGAAATATTTGTATAATTGAGTTAGACATTATGTTCTCGTAATTATGTAATTATTCTCATATAATATTTAGGTTACACTTTATATTATACATTTAAAAACTGAGTAATATTATTTAACTACGTGTTAGGGCTGCACGATTATGACAAAAATCATAATTGTCGATTATTCCCTCCCATAATTGTAATCGCGATTGGAAATTCGATTAATTGTGCAGCCCTACTACGTGTACTTACTATATGGTTAGGGTTAGGATGGTTTGGGGTTATTTGCATGCAATTATGCTTAATTTATTGTTATTATAATAGTACGTACATGTAATGTGTAACAAGGTCACCGTAAAAAAAGTGTTACCAATATTTAATGTATATATACATTTTTATTTGGATGGCCTTTTGCTTTCACACCAATTATAAACCAATCTAAATAAACCCTATCCTAAACAATTTAGGTACTTATTTGTAAAATAGGTTATATGCAAATATATGTAAAATAGGTGTGTGTGTGTGTGTGTGTGTGTGTGTGTGTATATATATATATATATATATATACTGTATATATACACACGCACACACACACACTCCATAGTCAAATGTGCTGAAGTATGTATTATTTGCAAAGAATTTTGTGCAGAAATTAGCATTATGTAATATATAGGTTCATTTTTCAGCAAAAATAACTGCGTTCTTATATATCCTTCCATTACAATATAAAGTTTCACCATGTAACTTGGACCATATAAAATGTTGGTCATGCCGCCCACCTCTAAATGTTACCAATATTGTTTTCCTCCTTTTGTTCATTATTTTTTCTCCTTAGTTGACCATGTGCTTCTCTTAGTTCCTGTTTTATCTGCCTGTTGTGTAAATGTAGAGAGTGAGGTGTGTTGAATCAGAGATTGTAGGTGATTTGTGTTTAGTTTAGATTGAATAGTTTAGTCAGCATTTGTCTTGTAAGCTCCAGGCTATATTTGAAATAGTTTCCAGTAGTTTTGCAGAAAAGACTGTAAAGGCTCTATTGAGTTACTTGCGAACTCATGTACCTGCTGTTCTTTAATTAAGTGACCGTTTGTTTGCTTTTCTATGTACATGTTTGTTTTGTTCGATCAGGTGGTCACCAGGACAACTACAAGTCGATGTGGTTTGAGCAGCTCGTCGACCCGGTGACAGGAGAGCCCACGCACATCTACAAAGGAGGATATTGGGAGGCCAAGGAGCAGGGCAACTGGGACTCCTGCCCGGATATCTTCTGATCCCAATCACGCACATGCCCCGCCGTGCCCTCACTGTCCCGTTTCCCAGAAAAACAAAAAACCGAAAGCTCAATCAGCTGCCCCCTTCTCTTTTCCCGTATCGTAGTATGTCGAGATACGCGTTCTCTCTTTCGCCAGCCGTGCTCTACTCAGTGGACAATATGGAACACCGAAATGGTTCGGGAACGTTCTCCCGCCACCATCCACTGTGTGTCTCTCTGTTTTCCTCGTGTTCACAGGATTATTCAAACATAGGGTTCGTGGTTCAGTAAATGCTAGAGTTAGGAAAACATATCCTTTCCCGCTCCACACATCTTCCTCAAGCTGTGGACGTCACATCCTTAAACATCCGGGGGATACGAAGGCCTGTTTGATTGCGTGTGTGTGTGTGAGTGTGTGTGTGTGTGTGTGTGAGAATTAGCGCATGTGCGAGTGAGTTCAGAGAAGCGCTGTATTGCTCGTTCTTTTCATTGAGCGTGTTTGTGTGAGAGACGTAGTTTGAGAGCTCGCCTTGGTTTATGGATTTTAAAGGAATGGTTTGCACAAATATGAAAGATCTGTCACTGATTTCTCACCATCTTTTTTTTTTATTTATTTTTTTTTTTTTTATAAATATGCAGCTCTTTTCTATTAATGTTAACATAGAATGACCACTTGTCAAACACCATAAAAGTATCATAAAAATAGTCTATGCGATTTGTGATGCTATATTCCAAGTCTTCCGTATCTATATGCTAGTTTTGTGCAAGAAATTTTACACTTGTTCTAACTGGCACAGCAATTACGACACACAAGAACCAGTGGTGTTTTAGAGTCAATAACCTTTCGCAATGAGATGTCAGATCTTCAGTGGAGGGGAAGATTATTATTGAGTAACAATGTAAAGTTCAGTCTTTTCCTCACACTGAGCCATTGTATTACTTGAAATATAATGTACAAGTCGTATGCATCATTTTATGGTGCTTTTAAGTCTTATTTTGGTTCTTTTTGTAGCTTGACAGTCTGTAAACTTCTACAAAAAAACCCAGTAGTTTTGTTCATGAAATCTCCACTTGTTCGAACTGGTACAGCAATTACGACACACAAGAACCGTTGGGATTTTGTTGCGTCAATGACTGTCAAACCGCACAGTTTTTGAAACTATTAGCAAATAAGATTTCAGAGCTTTGGCAGATGGGAAGATTATCATTGAATAACAATATAAATGTAAATCTTTTCTCTCGCACTAAGCCATTGTATTACTTGAAATATAATGTACAAGTCATAGGGATGACTTTTTGGGTGTTAAGTTAAATAAGTTTAGGTCTAAGCCTATAAATTGTTCTACAGAAAAAAAACACCATGAAAGTATCATGAAAGTTGTCTATGCGAGTTGTGACGATATATTACAAGTCATCTGAATTTATGATAGTTTTGTGCAAGGTATTCTTCATTTGTTCGAACTGGCATGCCAATTATAAAACGCAAGAACCAATAGCGTTTTGGAGTCAATGACCGTCAGACCGCACAATTTTTGAAACACTTCACAAATGAGATGTCGTAGCTTTGGCAGATGGAAAGATTGTCAGTGAATAACAACGTAAATTTCAATCTTTTTATATTACTTGAAATATAACGCACAAGTCATATGCTTACTTTTATGGTGATTTTAAGTCATTATTTTGGTCCTTTTTTACAACCTATGAACTGAAAAAATCAACTACGTGGGTTTGAATGACCCAAGGGCGAGTAAACGATGACATCAATTTCATTTTTGCATGAACTATTCCTTTCAATCCCATCATATCTGTACAGTTCTCTGAGGGACAATGGAAGCATCATTCTGATATTCTTACTAACACTCGCTAAAATCACTTAAAAAGACTAATGAATTGTCCAGAGCGTGTTTAGAACCTCTAGAACAGCATATCTGTTGATGCTCGCAAGAGGTTGTGCTGCTTTAAGCAGGAGAGCCACATAAAAGCATCAGTGTAGCCAGAGGAAGACGCTGCACTGCTTGAATTTAGCTTCAGTGTTTGAAACTGACAAGTCGCTGTGATGTGTAGTGTACGTGACACTGAAGGATCTACCCGTTTGTTGATGTTTCCCCTTCAGCTTGGGCACAGATGCATTATGGACCACTCTTGCTCATGTGGGAAGCGGTGAAGAGAAGGACGGTGTCCACAAACTGAGGCGCTCGAGTGTGTGTGTGGGGGCACTTGAGGTCAAGGGAGTCTCAAACCTGTGTGTGTGTGAGATCATGAGTGACGTATTTGGGGTTTGTTGTGTATTAGTGAAACTAAAAAAGGAAAATTGCATTTTATTTTCAAGTGTACTTAAACACATGCGTGGGGGGCAAAAAAAGCAAGAATACAGCAATGCAAAAACATTGCGGATATTTGTGTATATATATCAAATAATGAAGTAAAATATTCATACTATTAATACCAATCCTTCTTATGCTGACACTGACAGCTAGAGTTATAATTATGATGGTAATTTTGATGTAGTTTGAGGGTTCAGCACAATTATTAATTTTTTATCTTTTTTTTTTTTTTTTGTCTGTTTGATATGGGAAGCCACGACACATTCTTGTTTTCTTCATATCAAAGATAAAACGTTTGCTCATTGTCCTTGAATGGATTCAGACTAATGGAAATTTGATATATATGTATATCTATCCCATCATCCTCCTATTCCGTTAAAACAGCAGTTTCAATGTGAATTCACAGTTTTACTGCTGTTCGTAATAATTGCAGAATCTATTTTCTTGGTTTGCAGTCTTTTATTTGTACAACTGTTGAACTTGTTCTTTCTTCATTTGATTTCTTTGACTGTCATTCCTCAAGTTTTCCTCACTACCGCTGGTTGGCATTCTTCTTTTTGTTTGTCCTGTTGGTGTTGTCCCTCTCTTGGCCTCTGATCATTGTGTTACAGCACAGAATTGCTCTTGACTGTCGTCATGGTGCAGATGATAGTGAAATAAAAGCTGGTTTGAAAAGGAAATGATCTAACAAACAACAGTCTGTCACGTCTGTCATTATGAATTACCTTTTGCATATTTTGCAAGTGACTGTTCTTAAGAGATTATCACTGAATTGCAGTTGAAAAACAGTACGTTTCGGTTTCCTATCTTTTGCTCTGAAGCAGCACCACCCTTTTTACAGGAAAACTTTTTTTTCTCTCTTCAAGTTATGCTGCTGAAGCAGGCTTCTCATGAGATTTCTAGACCTGAATTTTTTTCGTCCTAGTTGTTCTGCTCCAAAATATTTCATTGGCTAAATATTGCAAGATATTCATCAGTTAGTGTTTTTATCTTATTAGAGAAATGTGCACCCCAAGTACAATTCAAAAGCAAAAAAAAGAGAAAATGAGTAAAATACACTTGGCTAACACAGTCAATGAAATGTGCCTTGGTAAAACGCTTAAATTGATGCATATGATTTCTCTCTTTTTCTTTCTTTTAATCTAGAAATGTACACTTATGTTTGACTGATTTCTTTGTGTAAATGTTTTAGGTCCTAACTATACTATTGGAAACAATTTACAACATTTAACTCAATGCACACCAGTGTTATTTTAGAGTATTTGATATTGTATTTATTAATATTTTGTATTAGGTTTAATATTTTTCTCTTTTTTCAACTTAATTTTTATTCTTATTTTTTTTAGGAACAAATTTAAACATGCATCGCATATATTTGTTCTTACATTAGTTTTTCCATTTTCATTTAGCAATTTGGTTGTCTTTTACTATTTTTTTTTTTTTTTAAGTCAGTTTATAACACCGATCACCTACGCACACAAGCATTCACAATAGCATAGTCATATTATGTCAGTATACATATATAGCATATATATAGTGCAAATGTTCAAATATGCATTAGAAAAGCAAAATAGCTTTTTTATTTCCAGAATTCCACTCTGCATTAAACATACAATGCAATGTGGTCATGTGACGTAGCATACTAATACTGTTCCAAATACTATTTTAGTATACGGTTCATACTGTGCATAATTCATAATAAATCAGAAAAACTAGTAGGCTACTCCCTTCCAACCAGCTTAAGTTTCAATTTCCCAGATGTGAGCTTTTCAGAGGAGGCGTGTCTTGAAGGAATCATTTTAAAAAGGACTTAATCGCCTTCCTCTGCTGTCCAGTGAGATTAAGTGAACTCAACTCACTACAGATCGATAATCGGATCACTGCAAGAAACTTGGAGGATCTTTCTTCACCATACAAGGTAAAAATTAAGATATTTGTGTTTTCCATAAGAACAGTACACAGTTATGATGCCTTAAAATCATGTGTTTTTCTTACACTTTTTAGACGCATTGTCTGAGACACAGAAACATCAAATATAAATTCACCCATAATTTCATGATAGACAACAATGTTCATTTACAACATTCTCAAAATGTCTTAATTTTTAATGATAAAATTTCAAGAGAAAATTTAAATATGGCCTTTTCTCAGTTTATACTGTTGAAAATACTGTTAACAGTCTTAATTTAAAATGACCATCAAAAGTTCTAGAAAAGTTTTGAAGAGAGAGAATTTTTTTTTTTAACCTGTGGTGTGATGTTCTCTTTCATCATCTCGTGTTCGAGATGTTTGAGATCCACCTATGGGAAGGTCATCCGTGCCTGACCTCTAAAGAAGCATTCAAACGCACCAAGTCTGGCTTGACAGACAGGAGTGCGTGCCCAATGGCAGGTAAGGGGCCGCCCCTTAACCGAGCGCATAAAACCCTTGCACTTACACAGCTCGGTTGGATTTAAAACTGCTTGTGTCTTCAGGAGGACAAATCACCAGATCAGCCTCCGCCAGATGTGACAATCTTTTTATTCAGCCTTAGGTTAGTTGTGTTTCGCATCCTGAGCCACCCACGCTCTCTTTTGTCTTCAGGCTGCCCGGCTATTTTCATTATCCCACCTGCTCCCCTTTCCACGGCTGCCTGCCACAGATTTTTCTCAGTTTTTCGTCGGTATGTTACTCTCTAAAATGGTTACTTCTCCCAGGGATAGCTTATCACGGGCCTGTGTGGCCGCTAAGGACCCTCACCCGTCGATCTCTTTGCCTCACGCAAAAACGCCCATTGTCCGATGTTCTTATCGCTACGGGATGAGGATGCCCGGCCTCGGCGTGGACGCACTGGCCCACCCTTGGCCCAATGTGCTGCTCTACGCATTTCCTCCGCTCTGCCTAATATCTCCTACTCTGGTCAGGGTGAAATAATAGAGCCTGACTCTGATTTTGATAGCACCCAGGTAGCCTAAATCTCCATAGCTGGCAGAGATAATTCCTCTTCTGTATGCCCAGCCGTGGCCCCTCTCATTACGACACAGACCCCCTGTCCCAAGGGAACGGGGAAATCTACCATCCTCACCAAGACGGTGGCCCTCTTGAGAGGGCAAACTTAAACACATTGGGGCTCCCCCCACATGTTGTTGCTACCATTCAGAATGCTAGAGCCTCTTCTACAGGCTCCCTTTATGATTGCAAGTGGTGTGTGTTTGAGGAGTGGTGCGAGGTTGTTGACATTTTTAGTTTTTTTTGCAAGACCTTATCGATGGTGGTAAATCCTTTTCCACTATTAAGGTCTACTTAGCAGCTATCGACAGGACCAACCCTTTCAGGAGGAGTAATCAGCTCTTCATTTCTTGGGCCCCCCCGAATACGGGGAATCCCATTTCTAAGCAACGGCTCTCTCATTGGCTCGTGGAAGCCATCTCTCTGGCATATGAATCTTAAGGCGGTGCGGCCTCCAGAAGGCCTCAAAGCTCACTCCACTAGGGACATGGCAGCATCGTGGGCTCTGTTCCCTACAGGACATTTGTGCCACTGCAAGCTAGGTCTCTCCACATACATTTGTCAGATACTACCAGCTTGATGTTACCCAGACATGTTTGCCTTTTATATTTAATCCTTTTAAAAAATTAATTTGCCATAAACATGACCATTGAAATGAAGTAGGCAAAAAGAGTGATTTCAAAGCGGTTGAAAACATAAATGGTGATAAATAACAGCATCGAAAATGCACTTTCCCTTCAAACATAAAACTTGACTGACTGGTTTGTATTTACTGACTCATTGTATGGTTTTACTATTATTCTAAATATTTCTTCATTGTCTCTTTCTCTCACACAGTCATCCATCATGGTGAAAGGCACCCTGAATGAACTGTCCCAGCTAAAAAGCTCTGGCTTCGGTCAGCCACAGCCGAAACATGGCCTGAACCTGTTGTACTGGTTTGCTCATGACTATATCCACGTCAGCAATGGTGATATTGTCCCGAGATTCAAGCCTCAGAATGGAGACTTTGGTTTCCACAAATACCAAAACAAAATTGAAGAAGATGATCACATTGTGCCTATTCAGAATCTCCCATACTATGAGGTGGGCAACCTGAACGCTCAAGGAGCAGACAAGCTCCCAGATTATGTCAGGGCAAATTACAGCAACAGAAATCCCGACAGCAACAAGGATCGCATTATTGTGCGGCGGGACGCCAATGGCAGCTTCAATAGGGTGTATTTGACTGAACACAGCGACCCGAAACGATTCGACAGCAACAGAACCTACCGAGTGAGCCAGGGCCTCCTCAAGATCATCAATAACATGAGTCGAGAGCTGTATCTCTCTCAGCTCTCCAGCACTCAAGAAGATCATGTCAGATTCACACCACAGAGTCGTTATGAGACAGCGCCTGACAACAACTCCTGGTGTACCATTCTTTGAGCCATTCAAAGAGTTGCTGACATTAACCTGCTTTCATTATATCCGTGATTATTATATACATTTTATTATGTAATGGTGAATTGATTAAAGCATCTATTAGTGATGGGCGAGTTCGAATAACTGCTTCACGAAGCTTCGAGACCTTTATGAATCTTGTTTCGGATAGTCACGTGATTTCAGCAAACGAGGCTTCGCTACATCCTACTGTTTTGAAACATCTGTGGTTTGAGGATGGTGTTGTGTTAAATGCATTAAACGTGTGGTTATAAGGTTGTTCTTCTGTGCATTTACATGACTTTAACCAGCAGATATCACCAGCATGCACTGGTTCGATTGAATCGCTTCTCCCGTCACTGTTATTAATGTTGTGTCAACTGTTATAATCAAATTTGGATTCCTTTGCTTTTTTTCCTGAGTTCTATTAAATGTGTGGTTTCTCTGGCTTGGTTTGAAATAAAATGACTTTGGGAACTCATAATTCAAACTGTTCTTTTTTGTTTGTGCAAATTAGTCTCTTTTAGTATCGTACGTCTGCAAGATGTCTGTTAAAGATCTCTTCATCTGGAAAGCATCTGCTGTGTACAAACATCTGATAGACGTCTTTAAGATGTCAGTTTTACATACATTCTAAATCATAAACATCTTAAAGACATCTTCTAAACGTCTGTTTGACATCTGATAGGAAATGTCATAGACATATTGCAGATGAGCAAACACTCACCTAGCTGATGTAAATGCAGACGTCAAATAGACGTCTCCATGATGTACGTCTGCTATCAGGGTAGTATCATACCTTACAAAAACAGGTAGCCTATGCCTACAAAGAATGTGAGGAAGACATGGTTCACACAATTTTCATTCCTTATTGAGTATTTCTGATGAAACGATTTTAGTGTTAAAGGGTAAGCAATAAACAGAAACGATTATTCCATTTAAGGCACTATTGCCTGTCAGTTTTTCTGCTATAAATGTCTGGCATGAAGCAGCATCAGTTTCTGTTTGCAGAACTTTTCTCCACCCACAAAAGCCATTATCAGAGTGTGAACACTCCCATTACGTCTGTAGGATAAAGTGTACCCATTTTATTTGTTTATGTAGATGATTTGTATTGCTTTATTAGTTACAAAATCAGGTTAGGATCATATATAGCAGTATCTTTGGCCTCACACAAGACAAAGTTGCTACATTCGAGGAACTGCTGGACTAAACAGTTCATTACCAGAGACACGGTAAGAGCACTGAATTGTCCCAGCTGTTCATTTATTTACTTAAAATTATTTATAATCAAAAAAGCTGGATTATGACAGCAGATCTTGACTGGATTTTACTTAAAATTTTACTCCAACTGCAGATTAAGCCTTCATTTTACCGCAAGATTCTTAGAGGATCAGTGTTTCTACTGCTACAGAAATCTTTCTGATCATATTTCTGTGCAAGTGATCAATGCATGCAAATGGTCAGACTTCATTTAGCTGATTCTGAGAGAAAATGTTCAAAGTGAGCTGATATTACTACAATCTTATTAATAGCTGAAAACCCCATCAAACGAGCCTAAATGTTTAATAAATGATCATTCAAAGGGAAGTGGATCTATTGAAATTTATGCTTAACAGGATCTCCCATTCTGCA